CCCTCCGACAACCTCTTTCGCACCCCCTCCCCCCTTCGCCCAACTCCCGTCTTACACACACGCACGCACGCACACACAAACTCCTGGCCGCATTCCAACGCTCCACCCCACTGCACCAGAGCAGCAACGAGGCTGGAATGCCTGTTAACGAACTCGAATAGCACACACAGATTGACATTTACTTCTGTAGCAAACTGCCGTGCAGACAGACATCTAGGAAACACCTTGCTCATGATTAGGATCCTAAGCCCCACCGGAGATGTGAGACCTGATTTATGAAAAATGCCGCCGAAAATTGAGTACACGTTTGCCCACGTGGCCCTACAATAATATTTTGTCAACTGAATACTATCATAAGCAGGGCTGTGGGGATGCACAACAGGATAAAATAAAGGAGAGATGGTGTTATCTTTCATTGTTTGGCACTGATCTAGTGTATTAATCATGTGCTCGCTTCTGTTTATTGCGCAAATGTGGATGTTGTGAAAAGAAAGTGCATCAATACAAATTTGAGCTCAAAGCAAATTATTGCGTCTTGCTTCCTATCGATAGCTGTTTTCCTACCTGGTTTAAAGAAAGTGAGTTAATTCGTGCAGTGTTATCCCCTTTCGGTGTGCGTTTGGGCATCCTTCCCCCTTCGGCATAATAAACGTTGTCGAGTTCTTAGCGAAATAGTTTTGTTTGTAGGCACTAAAATACTATTTGTGACTGTAGATCGTGTGCATCGGTATTATGCAAATTACTTTAAAACTAATTCAGAAATAATTAATCACTTTCTATACTACCAATTATCCCCCTTTGCCCTCTCTCTGTCTTTGTCTCTGTCTCTGTCTCTGTCTGTCTCTCTGTCTGTCTCTCTCTCTCTGTCTCTCTCTCTCTCTGCCTCTGTCTCTCTCTCTCTCTCTCTCTCTCTCTCTCTCTTTCTTTCTCTTTCTGTTTGTCTGTCTTTCTGTTTACTCATATCTCTGTCTCTCTCTCTCATTTCATTTCTCTTTCCTTTCTTTCTATTCCTCCTTCTCTCTGTTCTCTCTCTATTCTCTTTATTCCCCCCAACTCTCTCTTTCTCTCTCTCTCTCTCTCTCTCTTTCTCTCTTTCTCTCTCTCTCTCTTTCTCTCTCTCTCT